CGATCGTGTTCAGCAGGAGGCCAAAAAGACCAATACCAGTTCTACCCGACCCTAATACTATGCTACCATATGTACCTCCTGAGATAGACGTTGAGCCAGCGAGTACTGAGGATCCAGAGTTCTCTACAGAGTTATCTGTCCAATCTCCAGAGATAGACATCCTTGATGTAGAAGATGACAGCAGCAGTGCTGGGAGTAATTACGTCAACGCTGAAACGTACCTGCCCCCATCCAGCACCCCCCGCCCCGTGCAACCGACCAAGTCGTTTAACGGTATCTCAGATGTGAAGAAGACGGCCCTGATACCCAAGGCCGTGTCTGAGGCCAATATCCCGAGTGGCCGATTGTCTAAACCACATGACGAAACAGAGCAATGCCCTTACTTCGATATGAAGCCTAAAACCAGGCTTCAACCGACACCGCCCCCGCTAGCCCATGTCGGCAAAAAGCCAGGCTCTGGTTACGTTAACCAGCCTGAGGGACAGGCACATCCGGTTGGGGTAGAACCACATCCGGTTGGGGCAGAACCACATCCGGTTGGGGCAGAACCACATCCGGTTGGGGCAGCTGAGGACTCTGGCAGCGACTCAGGAGAACTCTACTTGAACTATGAGCCACAGGGTCATGCTATGTCAAATGTTAACAAAGCACAATCACAGAAACACAATCAGATCAAACATACAAAAACACAACCCGACGCAAAAAGAAAGCCAAAAGCTAACACACTACAGCCGATCAACAACACCGAGCAAGCCCATAACACAGACGACGCGTCAGAGAAACCCCAGAAGTACATAAATGTGGAAGACATCGTGTGCACCCCACCTAAATCTAGCTCAATGAGAAAAGAGGTTAATCCCCCCGTGAAAATTGTCGTTAATCCCAAATCCGTTGAATCACACTCCCCTCGCTCGGACTCCGAGGTTGATATGTCAGAGGAGGAAGCGCAGGAAGACTACATAAACATGGCCAAACACGAATTCCACCCCAGCCAGGTATCTTCAGCCCCACCTCCACCCCCATCAGTAACGCCATCGCCATCTAAAACGCCACCTATGGGCGGAGTAAATATACTTCCTTTAGGCAAACAGCCGCCTCCCAAGGTTTCACCCAAACCGAAAGTGAACACAAAATCAAACTTATCCGAATCTCCGCAGTCTGTGGCCGGCTTAAAAGAAGAGTTCGACAAGAACAGTAACCACATCATCAAGCCTGCACACAACACATCGCCAGCCAAATCTGGGAAACCACCAGTGGCGCTGCCTGCCAACAGTAAACACAATCAAATGTCGCCTAGCGACGATGAAGGTCTGTACGAAAATACTACCGTCATTTCCAAGCTAGCCGGACCCAAACAGAGCCCCAAATCCCAAAATGGAAAAATTTCAAAACCTTCTAAAGAGGGTCATTTATTTGCAGAACTAAAATCTAAACTTAGTTGAATCAACAAACATAGACTTGCAGCATCAGAATAATTTAGCGACATCCGGCTGGCAGCATCAGATTAAGTACCATGATTTTGTGTCCAGATTTGTGCCAAAAATAAGCCAACATTTTGTGTTCACAACATTTCTTCAATGGGATGCACCAGGAATGTTTTTTGTGCTCGAAAGGATACCTGTATTACATTTTTTTTAATGGCTCGTAAGGATTCTTGTATTCTACTTCAAATAATGTGAACTAGCGGATCCAACACTATTCTCAACGAACTATAATTTAGTGAAGCTTTAGTAGTTTACAGTAGGCATACAACAACTGAGTTAAAGATTTCAACTGATTCCTTACCACTCATATTAGACTGTCGGATCGAGTCTAATTGAATGGTAATTTTCTGGTGGATTTGAAAACTTTAATTAATGCATTTTTCCAATTGCTGAATTGCAGTTAAACAAGGAAATAATAAAAAAAAAAGTATGAAGGTCTTCATCAACACATTAAGTCTCCAACATTCAGGAATATTTCTCCCCCCCCCCGGAAATTGTTGTCGCCCCCGCTCCACCCCGAAAATTTCAAGTGCACCCCCGGAGAAAAAAGTCTGGAAGAAACACTACTAGGCAGAGGGCAAGACAGTGGACAAGCAGGGTTTCTTTCGGACAAATTTTCCCCAGGGGAGGGGCAGTTGATCTTGAAACTTGGGTGGACATGCTCTAGGGGGATGAGTGCAAGGAGCTATGTATGTAGACAAAGCACACCAGAATGTTGCAAATTTTATGAGTTATGTGCTGGGGTTGTCTAGTTGACCAGCCAGGATTTTGTTGTGGATTTTGTTATTCTATTTATCTTAATCCAACGAATTCAACTGAAGACCAGGGCTTACATCAATATGTATGTAAAACAGCTAATATAATTTGTAGAGAGTGTGTGGGGATCAGGAGTGAAGTTCTATCTTTTAGTATTAATAAATTAGGTTAATCCTCATCTACAGAATGTATGGATTATAGTGGATTATAGTGAGAGGTTAACCCTTTTGGGATAAGTTAAAGTTTTAGAGAGAATTAAAGTTAGGGTCAAGTTTTAGGTTGGATTGTGAATTCTTAGCAAGTCACTTGTGTGTAATAGCTAATCTTAATCTGGCTATCAAGTACACATTGAGTGATAGCTTATCTTAATCTGGCTATCAAGTACACATTGAGTGATAGCTTATCTTAATCTGGCTATCAAGTACACATTGAGTGATAGCTAATCTTAATCTGGCTATCAAGTACACATTGAATCTGCAGGTTGTTGCACTTTATCGTGTGTAAACATTGCTGAGGCTAGTACTATCCCACTGTGTTACTTGAACATTGACAAGTTTACAATTTGTTGAGGCTGGTACTATTCCACTGTACTATGCCATTGTATTACTTGGCCAATACAAAGCAGGCCAAACAATCCTAATGTATTATCATACCAGTGTTTTAACTGGCCACTTAAAGCTAATGTATTATCTGGCAATATGATACTAATGTTTACCTGGGCACTCAAAGCTAATGTATTAGCTGGTCTTATGATAGCAATTTAATTCCTGGCTATATGACACCAATGTATTACCTGGTTTTATGATACCTATGTATTACCTGGCCATATAGTACAATGTATTACCTAGCCATATCATAACAACCCATAACCTGCAACACTGATTCACATTGTGCACTTATGTGGTTTATTGGTGAATTTATGCTAATTAAAGTGTAATATTTACATTCTCAACTCACTATTAATAAGATGATTTTAAAAAATTCTAATAATGGAAAATGAATTCTCCTTAGCTTACTTACACCTTTTTAAAAGAAATTTTCCCTGAATCCTGTTAATTCTAGACTTTTAACACCCACCACTTGTAGAGAATCATTGTACTTTTGGAGGGTTTATTAATCCAAAAAAAATGGCAAATTATAAAACCAGAAAAATTGTTACATATAAGTTAAAATGTATATAAATGTTATTTATTTATAAATGGTTTTTGGGCCAGTTTTAATTAGACCCTAATTTGTAGGCCAGAATTTTTTATGTATTACATATTTTGACTGATTCAAGGATACCTTCCAGTTCCATAATAGGCTTAATACAAATTTCCTTCAACACTTTGTGATAAATTTACCTGTATATCAGCAATGATAAGAAATACCAACCCAAATACTTACATTTTTTAAAAAAAGTTATGAAAGAAGATAAATTGAGAATCCATTTGTATTGTTTTTAATATATTGACATATTTGTAGATATCTCATTGCTCTAACACTAAAAAGTTTGTCATTTGTAAAGTGTACTTATTCATGAATACCCTATGAACTTCTATTGTTTTATTAATCATGTTAAAAAAAATCTTTATTCACATTTTCTTTTTATAAAAAAAAGTGCTTATCATTATCATTCATCATTCCTGTGTATATAAATAACTTGGCACTCTTAATTTTCATAAATGGTGTGAGATTGTGAGTTTAATTAACAACAGGATTGTTGCTAAGCTCATATGGTGACTGGTTGAATGTTTACATTAAATTTATATGGTGACTGGTTGAATGTTTACATTAAATTTATATGATAACTGGTTGAATGTTTACATTAAATTTATATGATGACTGGTTGAATGTTTACATTAAATTTATATGGTGACTGGTTGAATGTTTACATTAAATTTATAAGACTAGTTGAATGTTTACATTAAATTTATATGGTGACTGGTTGAATGTTTACATTAAATTAATATGGTGACCTGTTGAATGTTTACATTAAATTTATATGGTGACTGGTTGAATGTTTACATTAAATTTATATGGTGACTGGTTGAATGTTTACATTAAATTTATATGGTGACTGGTTGAATGTTTACATTAAATTTATATGGTGACTGGTTGAATGTTTACATTAAATTTATATGGTGACTGGTTGAATGTTTACATTAAATTTATATGGTGACTGGTTGAATGTTTACATTAAGTTTATAAGACTGGTTGAATGTTTACATTAAATTTATATGGTGACTGGTTGAATGTTTACATTAAATTTATATGGTGACTGGTTGAATGTTTACATTAACTTTATATGGTGACTGGTTGAATTTTTACATTAAATTTATAAGACTGGTTGAATGTTAACATTAAATTTATATGGTGACTTGTTGAATGTTAACATTGAATTTATATGAAGACTGGCTGAATGTTTACTTCTTACAGTTGCTGTGTTACAGATGGTTAGCGTATAATTTATGTACTGATATTGAATGTAAATTCACAGTGGCTGTGTAATGACTGAATTCACAACAGATTGTAATCAAATGTTTCACTCTGTATTTTATTACCACCTAACTTATAAAATGATTTATTAACTTTGAAGGTTTTTATTTTATTACTCCTCATTGCTTAGATCCCCTTTAGCATGCATTATCATTATTTGTTTTCTAAGCCAAAATCCAATTTCCCAGTTCTGTTTTACAAGAAAAACTTAGCTATTGTTCTAGAGTAATAAAAAGAAACTAAAACAGTCTCACAAAATGGCAATGTAGATGATTAGCAAAACAAAAAACCTCCAACTGGTGCACACTATCCAGCTCTGGGAAAATATATCTATATGAGTTGACCCGCGACGTAGCATACACCGCTATTTAGTTTAATTCCTATTTTTCAATAATTCATAATTTGTGAATTCGACACTACCAATGCTGTGACTATCAGTAGCTAGTGGAGGACTTTATCTCCCCCCCCCCCCCTCTGTGGAAAGCAGTGAAAAGAACAAGCAAAACATTACCGACCCTGAATTTCAAATTGTTTAAAAACTGAATTATCTGCCCCTAATAGCCTTCACCATGTCACTATAATTGTAAACCGCTCACCAGACTGGTGGGGGTGGTAGCGATATGGTCTGTTGAGCTTACGTCTTGGTGGTGTCTCGCATAGTGCCCACTTAGAGAATTATATATCTATAGGATGAGTACACATTTGAACTCCTTGAATGCCAGACACATTTTGTTACAAGATTTTGCTAAAAGTAGAGCCAGAAAATATTTGCTGCTTGTGCAGATATTCAAAAGCATATTTCCCATGCATACCATATAATTCCCTAAAACATTTTCTATACCTCAAACTTAATAAGTATGCGATTATTTGAAGTTCAATCTAGATTGAAAGCCATGACAGAAAACACCACAGCTATTATATGGTTTAGAAGCATTTATTAAATAGAAATAAAATTGACAAAAAAATCCAAGATAAATGGCATGGTATAAAACATGCAATAAACTGGAATAGAAATAGCATAAAATTAGACAATATAAAAACTCATTGTACAAGAATGGTAAGATGCCTGAACCAGCTTCTCACAATCCAACCAAGCAGTAATGTACATATATACATTTGTAAACATTCCTAAAGTAGCACTTATCAAAACAACCATAAAACTATGTCACTATAAAAAAATGCACTAGATGTTTTTGTCCCATAAAATAATAATTTGCCCCCTTAAAATTCATACCACCTGAATCAAACTTCAACACTTTCAACAATGACAGGGCACTAACTCCATATTATTCATGTCAAATTTTACTTTCAAATATCATCACATATGGAAATGCTATTTCTTTATATTTGAATAGCACCCAGTATACAGCTAACAGCAACCAAGTGAGCAGTGAGGTAAGTGGCTGCAAGAGCTGCATCAGTCCTGCAGCAGTCAACTGTCTGGGTTCGAGTAGCAAGTTAATAAATCGTCCAGGAAACTTGCTTCATTTTTGCACCATCAGCTGTTAACAATTTCTCTTCTAGTGCAAGCCTTGCATTTTCTGGGAAAATCAGAGAGGCAAAAACTAAATTTCAAATAAATTTCAAATAATTAATCTTTACACTTATTTTATTACTGCGGATTTATGTACTCAAGGATTTATGTACTCAAGTTATCGAATCTTTGCTAAACAACATATGAGTTGAGATCTGCTGCTAAACAATTTTTTCTTTTAGAAATTTGTCAATAATTAAAATCAGACACTAAAGAAACAATGTTCTGATTGCGCTCAGGACAACTGACCATACTTATTATTTTAAGACAACTGACCATACTTGTTATTTTAAGACAACTGACCATACCTGTTATTTTAAGACAACTGACCATACCTGTTATTTTAAGACAACTGACCATACCTGTTATTTTAAGACAACTGACCATACCTGTTATTTTAAGACAACTGACCATACCTGTTATTTTAAGACAACTGACCATACCTGTTATTTTAAGACAACTGACCATACCTGTTATTTTAAGACAACTGACCATACTTATTATTTTAGGACAGCTGACCATACCTGTTATTTTAGGACAACGTGCAAACAGTAAAATCTTGATGAGAGGACACAACATGATCAGGGTTTCAACAGCCTCGTCTGTTAACTCTTTACACCCACTCATGTCAATTTCCTGTCACAAACATTTTCAGCTTTACAAAGTGATAGTTCAACAAAATGTCACTAAGATTTACAGCTTTGCAAAGCAACAGTACACCATGATAAATTAAATGTCTATTATTTTTAATCAATAACTGAAATTGATTATCAACTTTAAAATTAAGTTGAAATAATAAACAATGTCCCATAATCTATCACCAAAAAGTAAGACGCTTATCATACTATACATGGTTGGATAAGAAATCTACAATTAAAACTTAAATAATTTTTAAATTACCAGTAAAGAAAACTCAAGACATTCACATTATATTAATTAAACTATAAATGTATAAAATAGCAAACAACTGACTCACTGAAAGAACTTGTGGGGAGTGACCTTGACACATACTGTATATTCCAGCATCTGTTGCCTGAAAAACACAATAGCACTCAGCTTAACCACACCACAATGCATTTTTATGACAAGACAGCCTAAGAAATATTTGTAATCTGGGGTAATGAAATATTTTCTTAAAGTATGTGACTTAAGGTCAACATTTTCTTACATGAGTGTATGTGACTTAAAGTCATATTTTCTTACCTGAGTGCATGTGATATTCAGTGACTTGAGGTGATATGAATGTTTGCCCAGCGCCACCAGTGAAGCATCTGTTAGAAGCTGACACCCACCCACATTAAGCTCACGCAGTTTGGGGCAGTTGATTGACAGAGCTATGACACCTTCATCAGTGAGATTGATGTTCCTCCTCAGGTAGACAATTTGAAGGTTTGGACAGGACTTGGATAAGCTCACAATACCTGGTGCCAGAGTTTAAAACACTTCTTAGACAACTTGCTCAATTTTTTAAAATTTCTTAAAAACATATAAAAATTTATTCACATTCCATCAACACTAAATTTTCAATTATTATTTATCGATATATTTACAGTAGTAAGTAAAGATAATAATTCTTCATTTCAAAATTTGGATATAGGTTACTGTCCTAAAAAAGCACATTTTTCTATTATCTACAAAATAAAAAAAAATAACTTACCTGCTGATGTTATTGCAGTGTTGACTTCTTTGAATGAATTGAGGTCTATTTTACACAACTGCTTCATGCGAGTCAGCTTAAAGAGACATTCATCTGAAACCTGGCTGATGCTCAAATCAAGGGAGAGCAGCCGTGAATACAGCACCTAGAAATGAATGAAGATGTTAAACCCAATCCAACCTGTGTCAGCAATCTAACTCCGACAACCAAAAGATAATTAGATCTGACAGCTTTGTGTTAACCCTATGCAATTATTAGACATATTTGTATCAGCCACACCCACAAATTAAGATAGCTAGACTAGTAGCACTCAAAGTTCAACCCTTACTAAAGAGTTTAAGCAAGACTATAACAAAAGAATGATCACATGTGAATGCTAGTCCATTAGTACCATTTTACCATTTGAGGGATGCCTTCAGAAAGTATTATAAGATAATCAGTATTCAAGCAGTACCACTAACCATACAGTAAAAATAAAAAGCCTTGAAAAAGATGATGTATTAAAAGAGGCTCAAATTCGGAACTTTACTATAGGCCTACATTGTTAAAACCTAAATTAAACCTTTTCAATTCTTAAAGCCTCAAATCCAAACAATTTCAATAAATTTAAATTCTTAAAGCCTTAAATTCAAACCTTTCCAATAGACAGGGTTCGTACTGCTTTTTGAAAATAAAATTCCAGACTTTTTCCAGACTTTTTTTGAAAAATTCCAGACTTTAGACAGATAATGTGTTAGCGAATAATTTTTTTTAAATGATGCACTATTTGTACTGTCATTATAATTACTTATACTAAATTGACATTTATTTTAGGCAATTGAGCTATATTCATAGTGAACTCTCTCTAGCCAAATTGACAAAAACATTTTTTCTAAGTTTGCCTACTCCACCCTACCTAAAATTTTAACAATTAAAATAATTGATTAAAATGATGCAACTATTTTGTTTCCAACATTAGACTTATGTAATCTGTTCCTGATCTAATTGCTTATGTTTTCAATTAAACTATCATTAAAATGGTATTGCATAATAGTGAGAGTTAATTACTTTAAAGAATAATAATGTAATGTATTAATTTAGGTCTGCTCTTGTTAAGTAGCCTAAATAAATATAGGCTACTTGTAAAAAAAATGTGGAGCAAAAAAAAAAAAATCATTCACTGTTTGTGCTTATAGTAATAGCTGAGAAACGGGTCTGCAATAAAAACCAGGAAGGAAACCCGGGAATTTTTTTGGCCCACAATCATCCTTGGAACTTGCTTAACATTTTTGCTTTTGGAACTAGTCTTCGATATTGCTTCGTTGAGGAGGAGATACGACTTAAAGCAACTTAAAGCTGCGGACATTGTGAGGTCACTGTGAGGTCATAGTAGTCTAGACTACAGTATGCCTGTTTAATACGTCATAACATGAACTTGCTGTGACTTATACCCCCTCCCCCACCCTACTAACTAAGCGGTACCAACTACGCACTTGGGGTCACGGTGAGTTCACACAAGTGACCGATGTTACAAGGAGGGGCGGGGTAGTCTAACTTTAATCGTCAGCATTTGCAAAGATTTCAAAAACAGTTTAATGGAAGGTGAATTAAAATTAAAGGGTCATCCATTTATGACGTACACGTTGAGGGGGGAAGGGGTCAGAAGATTTTGTGATTACATTCTAAAACAAACATAAAACTTGTATCTTGCGAGTAGAAAGTAAAATTAAGACGACTGTGTTGGTGTTTTAAAAACCATCACAGCGTGTAAATAAAACACGGTATTTATATCTGCCCTAACATTATTGCAAGAGCAGGTCGTCACACTTTATAAAACCCCCCTCCCGACTTTCCTGAGTGTGACGTCATTTATGGACGACTCCTAAATAAAAATAGTACCTCTTTGTTAAGCTGAAGCAAACAGAAATACAGGTATGAACCCAAGGAGGCCTTGCGACTTATTAATATAATAAATGTTAATATTAATCCAAAGTAAGTGAACGCGTGTGGACAGAGGGCGGGGAAGGGGGAGGTCTAAAATCCGAAAAATTGTTGTAAGTCATAAATGGATGACGCCTTACAGACTGATAAATTATATCTAAACTACCACTCACACATCTCCCCCATAACTTTTTGTTATGACTGCCTGCATGCAAACTCAAACGATGAAAAAAGATGAAAAAATAGCGGGTAAAATCGAGAGCCTAACAATCATGTACTTGTCACACATTCACACGGTCAGTCGTGCCACAAAATATCTCTTCCCTCCTTTCCCCTCTTCTCCCAATGATGTAGTAACTTAAGTAACTGAGCATTTTTTCTGCGAACCAGCGAAAAAACGTCACAACATAGTGTAAACCCGCGCGACAGCGCGGGAAAAAAATTGGAGTAAATTCACTTTAAAATAGCAATTTTTTAAGTTGGAAAATATGGACTACGAAGTTTTGTTTCTAAAACTAGATTCCAGACTTTTTCCAGACTTTTAAAAAATCCTGACCAAAAACTAGCGATTTTCCAGACTTTTTTAAGTCTTAAATTCACTTTTCGAAATTCAAGACTTTTTCCAGACTTTCCAGACTGCGTACGAACCCTGAATAGATTTAATTTCTTAACTCTTTAAGACTATAGCAACACTTAACGTTGGATAAAAGTTTCTCTATTTAATTCATTGTTTTTCAGGATCCAAGTTTTAATCACAAGTCTACGTCGTGATATCGTTCGAGTGGCCATTTTTCTTTATCATTATTTTTTCAGACAAAAGCATATTTTTTTCCAGAGAAAATAAGCCTTAATTTTTTCTCATTTAAAATTAAGTAATTATCTTTCTTCATTAAATACATAAATATTTAAAATGTATATTTGCATGTTGGGCATTCAATTAAGATTAATTTATATTAGTCATGTGTGGGTATTAAATCAACAGGTAAAAAGATCTGAGTTGCTTTGCTGCATGGGTACTGAAAAAAATTGAGTGAAAAAAATAATTCCTGTAAAATGTGAAAATAATTATGTACTTAAAGAGTTAAAGCCCCAAATCCAAACCTTTTCAATATTGTGGTCTGTGATCAGACCTCTCTTGCTCATTAAACGAAGTACAGCTTGCTTGATGTTTTCAGGTGTGTCGCACAGACTTTCCTCGTAACTATCAAGATGGCGTATCACTGCAGAGGTTGAACTGAAAATATAAAAATAAAAGATAATGATATTTTCTTCTTTAACAACTACAAAGAGACAAAATGAACAAACATAGGAAGCCATTGCTAAGAACAAACATGGTAAATCAATATGTTTTATTGAATGGCTTGCCAGACGGCAACATAACTGACATAACATTTTTCTAGTCATTTGTCACACATTCCGTGTGTTAGTTTGAGTGTTAGTGATTGTTTTTAAAAATGAATGGAGCCTACTGAAAATAGTCTCACAATTATTGCAAAGGCCCATTATATTTTAAACATTTTAAGAATCATGTAAATTTTATTAAGATATATATGGTTATAAAAATCTGACTGTTGGATTTTTGTTGGATTGACTGTTTTGATATTTTTAGGATTTTTGGTGACTAAACAAAAATTAAAACAAAAAGCAATTAAAAAAACTATTTGGTTATTTATATTTTGTCACTAAAAATAGAAATAAACATAACATAAATTATTAGGCTTGATGAAAATAAATAAAAATGTAGCCTTAAAAAAATTATTTTCAAATTTTCAAGTTCTATACATTTGCACAGTTTTTATCTCACTGATTTTAAAAATGTTTTTGCTTTTTGGCCGCTATATGAAGGCAGGATTGAAAAAAACCCACAATAAATTATCCATGTTAACAACATAAAAATAGATTTAAATAATGAAGGAATGATTAATCTTCATTATTAAAAATTTCAATAGAAGGCTAAACATAACAAGTAAGGACCTGGTGTTACATAAAAACTCATTCATTAGAAATTTTTTCGAAAGGAATAGGTTAATAGTAGTAAATAATATTTAATAAATATTCTACTAGATCTACTATACTACTACACTACACTTAAGACTAAGAGTAAGACACTTATTTCACTTAAACTTTAAACATTTCGATGCTATATAATTAATATTTATAATCTAGATCTAGATTAGATCTAATATCTAGATCTCTAGAGCTAGATTACATCTGATTATTAATTTATTTAATGATTACACAGGCAGTGAGTTGGCAGTTGCTAATTTTATAAAAATAATTTGTTTAAGTTTATAATAAAGCCTAACTGGTAACTAACTAAACTAAAAATTACTAAGCTAAAGATTAGAATAAAGTGAATAAAGAATAAGAAGTAAACTCAGACATGTCATTAGTTAGTTATAAATCAAATATAGATCTAGGCCTAGGTCTATATCTAAAATATTAGTTGGAATTATGTAGGCCTATTTAATATTAAACAGTTTTTAATTCTTAAGACCTACGTTTGAAACAAACTTGGTATAGCAAAAACACTGACTCCCTTAGTCGCCATTTTTAAACAAACGGTTGGAAAATTGACTGCCAAGCATAGGTCTTTATCGCTTTTTGTGATTGGTGAATTTTCTATCTTATAGACCAATAAGAGGATATGTAACATACAATGTCTAGCCATGATTTCAGTAATAGAGTTCGAAGTTCAAAATAGGCCATAGTGACATAGTCACTTTCAAGTTTCATTTTTATTAGCATTTTTTCAAAGTTTAGATGTCTATTTCTAATCTAGAAATCTAGATCTAGATATAGTCTAGATATTTCTAGATCCTTGTGTCACAGACTGTATAATTATGTATCCTTATTATATTGTGTTTTGCATGAATGAAGAGTACCTGGCTAGCGGAAGGACTGTCTGAGCGATCGTCATGTGTTGTTTCATGCTTTTGGGTGAGATCGCTCATGTACGTAAGGGGAGAGAAAGTGGTGAATAAAAGGGAGAGCAAAAAGGTGAACGGGTGTTGTGTGCTAGAACTTGAACCTGAGGACTGTGGCTGTGAATGTAGGATGTTACTACGACACTTTGTTTCTTGACTGTGATTGTACTTATACCAGTTGTGACCATGGATTTACTATGGGTCTATTAATTCTCTGTACAAAGTGTAAATAAAGTTATTGTTTCACAACTACTGTTGCTCGTATGAGTATATTGAAGAACCCACAATAACAACAAAGAATTCATGTTGTTACATATGGTGTCAGAAGTGGGATTCTACTGTTACATATGATGTCAAAAGTGGTTGAAGAAGTGGTGCTACTGTTACTGATTCTACTGTTACATTGTCAGAAGCAATTGAAGAAGTGATGTTGTTACATTGGTAAATTATATTGAAGTCTGAAATCGTCAACGAAGTTACAGTGTTACTACAAGTGATCAAGAATTGTCACATTATCATTGTAAGCAGTTTTCAACGTTTTTGAAGTGGTCTTCCACTGCTTACCAAGTACGTCAAGTTCTTGAAAGTCATCTATCTACACTCAAGTCAGAAGGGTTGCTGTAGTCAAGTCAGACGTCTTGTTCAAGTCAAGTCATCAACGTGATAATTTTTATCACCTTATTTCGATATTGTCTCACCAATGTCGAGTAAATATCGTCTGTGTGTTTTTTCTGTTTGGATTTAGCCGATCAAGTCTTAGTGTTTCTTTTCTACTGTTTGGATTTAGCTGTTCAAGTTTTTTCTATATGGATTAGCTGTTCAAGTTTTTCTACTGTTTGGATTTAGCAGATCAAGTTTATTTTTGTAACTGTTCCTAAACTGTTCCTAAAGATGTCTTATCTAAAACTGGACAAATTTCTACTCTGTAACAGGCTACTAGAACTATTTTGAATTTTTTCAACTTTTTGGAATCAACAAAGTGAACTATTTTTGTACTATATATGTACTATGAACTTTTCTTGGATTACTAGATGTCTCTAATCAACTGAACAAAGCCAGAATACAAGAAAGGGTATTGTAAATTAATTAACATTTATCTATTGTCAACTAATGAATTTATATTTTATGTCATAGAAAATATATCAAAATGTTATGTTTTGAAGAATATCTAGCACTAGCGAGGGCGCAAGGCATTAAGAAGATGAAGAAGCAGATAGCCTGGGCAAACACTCGATTTGACCGAGACATAGAAAAAGCATTAGAAGCATGGGACGAACAAAATGAACAACCCAAACGAGCTCATGGAAATGTATTGAGAGAACTAGATGATGTGATAGAAATAGTGTGTAATAAATCAAGAGGTATCACAGAAATGCAAGAAGAAAAAAAAATGTCAGATGGAGATAAAGTAGAGGAGACTGTACAACAAAAAGGGAAGAGAAAAAAAAGAAACAGAAAACAGAGAGCAGATAAAAGGGCTGAAACTTTGGAAAAACAAGTTGGCCTACATGAACTAGAATATAAACAAGAACTATTAGAAATGAAAGCTATAACAGACACAAATGAACCAAAATTAGAAAGTGAACAGACAGAATTTAAAGCAGAACTTGAAGAAGTAAATATTGGCAACCTTTGGAATGAAGAACAGAGTAACATAGTCCAGGAAGAATTGAAACCCAAGGATAAAACAGAGGTTGAAGTTAATAATGATTTAAAGGTGACAGATACATTAGAATGTCTTAAGATTGACTCTTTATTGACTCAAACGCAGGTACACGAGAATATTATTGAAAGTTGTATCGTAAGTCCATCAAAGAATGGCAGTAAACAAGGAACAAGTCCATCAGAGAATGGCAGTAAACAAGAAACAAGTCCATCAGAGAATGGCAGTAAACAAGAAACAAGTCCATCAGAGAATGGCAGTAAACAAGAAATAAGTCCATCAGAGAATGGCAGTCAACAAGAAACAAGTCCATCAGAGAATGGCAGTCAAAATGATTTAATAAGCCCATCAGTCAATGGCAGTGATGATTTAATAAGTCCATCGGAGAATGGCAGGAATCATGATAAACTAATGATGATTAATGAATCAGTGAACTTAATAAGCCACAATGAAGAGAACGTACCTATTGAAGATTTACTTCGAAAATTGGAGTCAAACTATAAAGAAGATATACTAGAACTCAAGGATAAATTTAACAAAGAAATGGAGAAATTAACCCAGAAATTTATGTGTGAACTAGAATCAATAAAGAAGCACAAGGAAGTTAAGAAAGATGAAACAATATCTACAAATTACAATGTTAATAAAAATGCACAGAATGAAAGTAAAAGAAATGTAACAAACTATGAATACAGTCAACATGTTAATAAGAATGTCATTAATGTCATTAATGCACAGAATGAAAGAAAAAGAAATTTAGCAAACTATGAATACAGTCACCATGTTTATAAGAAGCCAAAATCTAGATGTTTTTACTGCGGAAAAACAGGTCATTACCAAAATCAATGTTGGCATAGGTTGGCAAATCAGAGAAGAAACAATTATGTACACAGAAAGTCATGTGAGAAATACAGTAATTTAAGAAATGTATCAACTTCAAATCAGAATAACAAAAGTGTGAATAGGTATACTAATGGAAGTTACCGACGCAACACATATTATGAGAGGCCAAAGCAATGCCATAATATTTATATTGAGTTGGTTGATGAACCAAACCAACATACACAAAGCAAGATAACCACTGACGTTGTTCAGAAACCAGAGGAGAATATTAAAACAAATGAAGTAACACAAGTTACACGAAATCTAGGAAATGATTATGGTAGCACAGCTAAAAGCTACAATTTGAGGGAGAGATGGCATACAGGTCATCGTCAACTGCACGAGAACGATTACTCATGCTATAGAGGGTGCTAAGATTAAATTATCAATTTACAGTTTATTAATATTATACAGTCTGTAACTGTAATATATAAATATCAAACAATTTGTATCAGTAATATAAATTGTGTACTATTTCAAAAGATTGTAAACTGTATTATGTTAAACCTATTCTATACTATTAATTAACAGTGAATAAAGTAAATCAAGTAAAAGTTAGAGACTATTATTCCGCATAACAATAAGACGGAAGTCTCAATGATGAATTGTGTGTTAGCCATACCTGTGAAAGGCAATGTTGTTGTGTTGTGACCTAGATTTGTCTGAAATGGGTCAACTAGGGGAGACAACAAAGTATATTAATCATGCGTCGTAATAACATGCCTTGATGCTAAGGAAGTTTTTTACTACATAGGATATAATTATTTAATTCATGAGTTGAATTAAGTCTTTGATAATTTCAACTATGTATTATAGTTTGGTAATTCACTAAACTCATTTGTCTTGTTTATACAATTACTTGGTAATTGAAATGTTTTTCTTTCTCATATTTGAATACATTACACATAATGCTTGTGCATTAGTCTACAAAGAATGTATTTTTCCATGTTTTTTGAGATGTATAAAAATTTTGTTGTCTGGCACATGATCCTGCCCTACCAATATTGTATTTATAAATTTTGTTACACAAAATTTTAATTGAAGGGGGGACGTGTCACAGACTGTATAATTATGTATCCTTATTATATTGTGTTTTGCATGAATGAAGAGTACCTGGCTAGCGGAAGGACTGTCTGAGCGATCGTCATGTGTTGTTTCATGCTTTTGGGTGAGATCGCTCATGTACGTAAGGGGAGAGAAAGTGGTGAATAAAAGGGAGAGCAAAAAGGTGAACGGGTGTTGTGTGCTAGAACTTGAACCTGAGGACTGTGGCTGTGAATGTAGGATGTTACTACGACACTTTGTTTCTTGACTGTGATTGTACTTATACCAGTTGTGACCATGGATTTACTATGGGTCTATTAATTCTCTGTACAAAGTGTAAATAAAGTTATTGTTTCACAACTACTGTTGCTCGTATGAGTATATTGAAGAACCCACAATAACAACAAAGAATTCATGTTGTTACAATTCTCTTCTGGGATCAGTTAGAAAACAAGCTGCAAGCGCGCCTTTGCAGTCCCCTCTCTACCTCTCTATCTCTTCCATTAAACCAATGGACATGACCGAGTTGTTGACTCTTTCCATTACTAGCCATCGGTACCCGTTTCACGTGAATTATAGGCCTATATATTTAAAATGTTGTACTTGTTTGAGAAAAATCCTAATTTATAAAATAGTTATTGGTCAAAACGCAATGTGCATTACTACACGCTGAACGATATAAGTGACAAAGCAAAGAAATAACTAATTAGCTAAAAATCCGACACATTTAACATAACACAGGCACACACTGATTAAGTGACTTAAATGATTCCGTTAAAAATCTGGTTATTGAATGGTCATTATGTTGTTTTTCCCACGTTTTATTTAACTTGCTTCTGTTTGTCTTTCCATCAAATCTTGCGATCGAAATTTCGGCAACTTCCCAGTTAGCTAGCGCGCTGAAATTTTCAGGGAAGCTTTGTTTCCGATGACAATACAATATTCAATTATTATTATTATTACTAAATTGATCCATGGAAAAATTTTATTGATCATTTTAGACTCCTATTGATTTGTACAAAAAAGGGACATAACCTAGTAATTGTAATTTGATAAA